CGCTTTACTCTCCTCATTACTTAATAAATAAATTTTATACTAGAATACGCGTAAAGCCAATACATTGACATTTGAAAATCGGTTACGTGAACTTTTGTACATTGTTTCTCCAAATGCTTAGGCTAGAAGGAAATTGCTTACGATTAGGATTAGGTGCTTTATTGAATAATGCCCAAAAAATTTAATTTCTTTATGTTTTTGAAGGTATCTTGTTTCTCTTCACATGTTTTTCAAAACACCATAAATATTTATACTCAAGCACGCACATATTAAATTATCGATGAACACTTATGATCGTTACTGTGATTCATTACATCATTGGAATCACCCTTCCCATAAATTTCTTCTCAGGATCTGACGACATTTCCATCTGCCATACCAGCTGATACCACAGAACTTTTCCTGGATTCGAATGCCATAGATGAGATACCTATCGATCAAATTAGCAGGCTCAGTAATTTGATCAAACTGTAGGTATTTTAATTCCGTTTTGTAACTATTTATCGATTTCTATTCTCATTCAGGGACATGTCCCACAATCGTGTAGAATCTATAGAGGACGGTACATTTGCAAATCTAACCAAGCTGTCTACACTGATTCTTTCCTACAACAAGCTAAGGGTAGCCATTCTCACTTCTTCTCTATTCTACTTATTCTTCAAGAAGTCTTATAGTGTCTGCAACCACGTGCCTTCATAGGGCTTCACTCGCTGAGAATTTTATCTCTTCATGGAAATGATATTTCACTTCTTCCAGAGACTGCATTTGAGAGTTTGAATAATATCACTCATATGTGAGTTCTCAGGTTTATTTTTGCGTCACAGAAAGTTTCCGACCGCAATATTATATAATTTAGAGCAGTGGGCAGTAACTCTTTGTACTGTGACTGTAGAATGGAATGGTTCTCCAGATGGATCAAATCTAAATTTGTTGAAGCTGGTATAGCTCGATGTGTAGCCCCTCAAAGTGTTGCCAATCAGCTCCTGCTCACAGCTCGATCTCATCAATTTCAGTCAGTAAGCCTATGATTTCCTAATTACCACCTCCATATAATCTTACTTTAGATGTGGAGGTACAGTACCAGCATCGGTATCTGCTAAATGCGATGCTTGTGTGACTCAACCATGTAAAAATGGTGCCAGATGCGAAACTACAAGTGGACGAGATTACCGCTGCCATTGTGCTGCTGGTTATCATGGAAAAAATTGCGAGAATGAGATCGACGCTTGCTATGGACATCCATGTCTGAACAATGCACTTTGCAAGGTGATTCCTTTTTTTTACGA